AACCCTCAACAGCACTGCTGGTTTTTGCCTTGGGGAAGCTATGGAAGGGATCCCCGTGAAGGCCCCTGTGAGATGGCTGGTCCAGTTTGGCTGGTGGTAGTCACACTGCGCTGTTTGCAGCCCTGGAGCTCGGGGTGGCTTCCTCGATGTCTCTGGGTGAGCCTGAGACATCAGCAAGCAATCTCTTAAAATAAAATCCTGCTTTGCTTTTAAACAGTTACTTATTACTCAGATGCTTTTACTTTCTTTGAATTTCACACACTCCAGTGAACAGAAGGTACTTTCTAACTGCATTGCTTAGATCCCTCTGAGCTTCCTGGGGGCCTCTGAAGGGAGAGGGGGAGGTGGGTGTGGGAGGGATGGGGGAGTGGTGGAGGAGGGGTAGGAGGGGTTAGGGGTGCTGTAGAGGTGGTGGAGAGGGAGAGATTGGAGAAGGGGCCCACAGGGGTTCTCAATTGTGTTACTCGATTGTGTTACTGGGGTCCCAAATGTGAATCATTTTGTGTGTGTGTGTGTGTGTGTGTGTGTGTGTGTGTGTGTCTGTGTGGAAAATGTTAACAAAAAATCTGCAGAGTAAAATAGAAAGAGTAATAGACATGCACACCCCCGACCGGGAGAGGCAGCAATTTGCTTTCTCTCTTTTGATGAACTGTCTGTAAAGTACTTCATCACAGGCCTGCAAAAAACGAGCCCATTTTCCCACATTAGCGACCTGGCATGAGAGACCGGACAGAAGCCATGGTAGCTCTCAGTGTCGTCTGCTGTCCTGTCCAGTCCACGGTGAAGTTCGTTTTTCTGCAGGTTCTGGAGCTGGGCCTGCTGTGATGACCGCAGCTGCTGGTGGAAGACTTGGTCCTTGTGTTGAAACCGTTTGTGAAGCTGTGGGCCCAGGTGTTACTGGAGAGTGTTTCTGTGCCCTCTTCCTAAGCTCTTAGTTTGCCCTTTTGAATTGATCAAATCAAATATTGTCATTGCCAGTGACAATGTATCTTTGGGTACTGAATTGACATTTCATTCATTTATTCTACAATAATTAACTAATTATAATACCTGGAACATTTACTGTGTGTTAAACACTCTACCTTGCTTGCATTAATTTAAACCTCACAAAATACTATAATATGGATACCATGATCATCATTTCCATTTAAAGATGAAGAGATGGGCCGGGGAGCAGAGAGGTTAAGACACTTATTCAAGGTCACACAGTTGATCCAAGTGAGTGGCAGAATGGGATTCCAGCTCAGTGTGTCTGACCTTGAAGCTCAAGGTCGAGACCTTCTTTCCCAGCACTGTGAGGCCCACTGTGTGATTGGTTCTGTGCTAGGGTATGGGATTTAGTGGGGAGAAAGCTCGATATTTTGTGGGCCTGCCCTCACAAAATATATTGTCTCACATACGAGTGTGTGAGGGATTAAAGAAGTGGGAATAGTAATGTGTCCAGATGTGTGTTGAGATAGGGCTGGACCCTGCAGAGTGCTGGGCAGGGCCACTCCAGGGGCCCGACTCAGTCTCATGCTAAAGCGGCTCAAGTGAGGTCCCTGAGCAGGTCAGTGACTGATGTGTGGCAGGGTCCACAGGTACTGTGAGTGTGTGTTCTGCTGGGGTGTGGGCAGGACACGAGGTCATGAACCGGGGGGCCAGGGGACATGTGTTCTCTGTGCAGGATACAGCCCTTTAAGCCCAGGTGGGGAGTGTGGCCTTATCTAAAAGGTGTGAATGCCCGTGCAGGTTGCCGTCTCAGGCTGTCCAGACATGCATTCTGGAACTGTAGTTTTGGCTGAGATGGGAGGGGGTGTGGATTCAAGGCTGAATTGGAGATACAGGGAACAGGATGAATGTTATTATGGGATGCTGGGAGACAGAGGTTAGGGCTGGGGAAGACCTTGAGTGTTTGGGGTTGGGTCCTTGGGACTGGGCAGTCCTTCTCACCCCTAAAGTTTAGCTGAGACCATCTATTCCTAGATTCCCCTGGACTCCCCTGAGAGGACCAGCCAGGCTTTGCCAATGCAGGTCATCACTACTCTCCCTACCCTTTCGGAAACTTCCACTTGCCCAGCTGGGGCACCACCAGTATCCTTTTTTCTCACTGTGTGTCCTTTCTGACTTTTGGGTTCCTCGAAGCTAAGCCTGTTTCTTAGTCACCGTTGGTTGTTAAATTCCCAGACGTCACCTGTCGCACAGTAGGCCCTCAGGGATTATGATGAACCCTGTTGTTCAGTGTGAGGCTGCAGGCAGCACTGGGCCTTGGGTCCTGTGGGGATCAGATGTTGATAGAGGCTGCGTAGGGTTCCTTATAGGCCCTCTGGCTACGTTACAGTGTATCTCCCTGTGGTGTGTGTCTCAGGTCTTAGCTTTTCGGGACTGGCTCTCACAGGAGTTCCTAGGACAGGTGTGGGAAGCAGTCCCCGTGCAGTGGGTCACCTGGGGGTGCTGCTGCAGGAAGTGACCTCTCTGGGCTGAGGCCGAAGATGCCGTTCCCAGGGTCCTCACTTATAGAAGGGTTTGTGTTTGTTTTTTTTTAGTTGAAACAGTTACCCACAGATTAAATTTACCTACATTAAGTGTTAGCAGTCTTGGGAAAGTCTCTTTATTTCAATTGTGCTCTGCAGTCCAAGAAGGTAAGTCTCCAGGTAGGGCGGCAGCCTGACATACGCACGCAGACCCGCCGCCACCTTTCTTTGTGCGCTCACATGCTGATTTCTTAAACATGTTATTTTCATGACTTTTATGTTCTGTCCCCCGAAACCCCTCCCCATGCCCATTAGAATGCATTCTTATGTTATGAACACACATAACATTCTTATGTTATGTTTTTAGTTTCTTTAGTAAACATTTTAATTTTTTCAATTTTTATAAATATTAAATTAACTTTTTCAAAATAAAATCTATTTTGAAAATTACATAAGGCATTTTCAAAAAGTAGCTTCCAACTATTCATCTCTAGAGAAGCGCGCGCGCGGCGCACACACACACATACACACACACACGGGAACATCCATTGGAAATCTATTTTAAAACCCTAATCAGCAAGCCATTTTTATGCCTAAACAATGAAATTACAGTCTCGTCTGGCAAGTTCCCAGTGACAGCCTTGGGAAGAGTGTGTCAGACAGTAACAACAGAACTCTGATTCATTATGGGCAAAATGTGTGGTCAGCGGGGCTGTGCTCTGTGCTTTGCGCATGTCTGTGGTGACTGGTCACATGTCAGCTAAGACACATGGATGTGTATTGCCTCTCTACCCCCACCCTCCACGTAGTGTCTGTGTTACCTGCAGGTTTGGGAGCGCGAGTCACGCCTCACAGGGGCCACGGCAAATGGGGAGAAAGCATTTGAGACCCCTCCACCCCCCGGCTCCCAGAGGCTGAGGGGCTTTTAAAAATAGGACAGCAAAGCCCTTAGTGCCAGGAGGGCTGATAATGTCCCCATAACCCTGTCACTGGGGTGGCTGCCCCGGGCCCATGTTTAAGTGCAAAGTTCCGAGGACAGTGTTCTTGTTCTTTTTTGGAAAAGAAAGGATGGCTGTGTCTTAAGTGGCAATTTTTGCTGACAGCTAAAAGAATGGTCACAGAGGTCTGTTGATTTGGCCACTGAAGCGAGCCAGTGGCAGAGAATTACGTTTTAACTGATTGCTAGAAGGTTTGCAAAAAACATCATCAGTGGGCTGTGTGCATCGGGAGGGGCTGCTGAGTGGGCCTCCTTCAATGCAGGAGGAGAACCAGCCCTGTTCCAGGGGAGCCAGGTGGGCCCTCCGTCCCTAGCTAATCTGTCAGAACTCTGTCCTGAAAGATGCGGTATCTCCCACGTGCATTCTAATTGGCGTATTATTTGTCTGCATTCTGCTTATCACAAGTCAGAAGGAAATTCCTGTTTTTATGGCACATGGTTGCTTTTCAGTGTGGACTGTCTTGGGCCCATTGGTGGTGTACAGGTGTTTGGTAGGGTTTCCCACAGTGTAGAGGCTTGCCCACTGTGCGCCTTGGATTGTGCACAGGGTGCTGGACACGCCCAGGTGCCTGGAGGAGCAGCTCAGACCAGGGCCTGTCCATCATTCTCTGGAAGGCAGATGGGCATGAAGGGGACAGTGATGATACATCTGCTGTCACCAGGGAGAGGTGGACCTGGCCTCCCCGGGAGGGCACTGTGGGGTCTGACTGTGGAGAAGTGGGGATGCTGCCCAACCTCCTGTAGTCAGCAGGGTTTTCCGCACCTAGGACTCAGCCCTGTGGCCAGAGTTTCGGGTGGTTTTGGGGATACAGCGGGGGTAGGAGTGCAGGGGAAAAAGGACAGGACCAGGATGGCAAGAACTTTGTAAGGTGGGCCGAAGAGTTTGGGCTTTAAGAGGCGGCAAGGACCGAATGTTGCTCTGGAAATGCCCTTGTGGTCACACACACCGGGGGTGGTATCCGTGGGGTAGCTGGCATCGGCCACCCAGTCCTGGGGTAGTGGGTTCAGGGCACAGACCTTGAAGCAGCTGACGGTTCCCTTTCTGCACTGCATTGCTTCTCTTTCACTCTACCATCCAAGTTCTTAACTGAAGACTCGTTTCCTTACTGTCTGCATACCTTTGTAAGTGCTGTTCACAGCTGCAAAGCCCAGCAGGGGCTCTGCCTCCCATCTTTGCCATCGTTCCCCCCTCATTTCACTTTGCTCCTTATTCCCACGCTCTCCTCTTTTATAGCTGTATCTCGCGCCGACAAACTCTCACCAGTCTTTTCTTAAAGATTTTATACCTTTCTGATAAAAATTATTTTAGTGCATAATCATTTACATTGGTTTGTTTTAATTATTTAACACGATCATTATCAATAATTAATTGCTTGATTGTTGATCTTTGAAAGGAAAGTAGCTGCTTATACAGCTGTTTGAATTTTTTTTTGTTGGTGCCTCATTTCTTTAATTTGGATTGGATTGATGTTTTTAAGGAGGACTATGTGGATCCATTGGTGGATGTGACTGGGTCTCTCTTCCCCTGCACACCTCCTTCCTAAGCTCTTCGCTGTGTCTTTTCTGTTCCAGGTGTTCGCTGCCCTCCACCATGTGCTCCAGGTAGGACATGCACATTGTGGTGGCAGGCGTGTCTGCAGCTGGGAAGCAGGAGGCTCCTCTGAACATGGAGAGATAAGACCTTGTCCTGCAGGCCTGCCTGACAGAGAGCCCTGCCACCCTGGCTGAGCTTGCCCGTGTCCTTGAGATGGATCGTCACCAGGAGGCCGAGATGGAGCTGCGCAGGGGCCCCGAGGTGGCCGGGGATAAGGCCCTGAGCCACAGCTGCTGCATTTGCGGCAAAAGCTTTCCCTTCCAGAGCTCCCTGTCGCAGCACATGCGCAAGCACACGGGCGAGAAGCCCTACAAGTGCCCCTACTGTGACCACAGGGCTTCCCAGAAGGGCAACCTCAAGATCCACATTCGCAGCCACCGCACGGGGACTCTGATCCAGGGCCACGAGCCCGAGGCCGGCGAGACGCGTGTGTCCGAGGGCCTGGACGGCTGCACCAGCCCCACAAAAAGCACTTCGGCCTGCAACAGGATCCTGAATGGCGCCACGCAGCTGGACAACAGCAAGATCCTGCTGAGGAGCAGCAGGAAGGAGGCGGAGGGGGCCGCATGCCCTGCGGAGGACGGCGGCGCAGCGGCTCAGTGCTCCTTCTGCAAGAGCAAGTTCGAGCGCAAGAAGGACCTGGAGCGTCACGTGCACCGGGCACACAAGCCCTTTAAGTGCCGGCTGTGCAGCTACGTGACGCTGAGGGAGGAGTCGCTGCTGAGCCACATCGAGAAGGACCACATCACCGCGCAGGTGCCCAGTGGGGAGGCCTGCGTGGTGAACGGCAAGCCGGAGCTGCCGCCTGGGGAGTTCCCGTGCGAGGTGTGCGGCCAGGCCTTTAGCCAGACCTGGTTCCTGAAGGCGCACATGAAGAAGCACAGGGGCTCCTTCGACCACGGCTGCCACATCTGTGGCCGGAGGTTCAAAGAGCCGTGGTTCCTCAAAAACCACATGAAGGCGCATGGCCCCAAGGCGGGGAGCAAGAACAGGCCCAAGAGCGAGCTGGACCCCATCGCCACCATCAACAACGTGGTGCAGGAGGAGGCGATCGTGGCCGGCCTGGCCCTCTATGAAGTCTGCACCAAGTGCGGGAACCTGTTTACAAACCTGGACAGCTTGAATGCCCACAACGCAGTCCACCGCAGGGTGGAGGCGGGCAGAACTCGGGCCCTGAGCGGGGAGGGCGAACTCAGACCTGCGGACTCCCAGCAGCTCTTCCTCCAGTGCCTGAACTTATGCCCCGTTGGAACCGGTGCACCAGCCCACGGACAGACCGGGCAGCGGGTGGCCGAGCTGGACCCGGTCAACAGCTACCAGGCCTGGCAGCTGGCCACCCGGGGCAAGGTGGTCGAGCCAGCCGAGTACCTCAAGTACGGGACGTGGGACGAGGCGCTGGCTGGGGATGTGGCCTTTGACAAGGAGCGGCGCGAGTACATCCTGGTGAGCCAGGAGAAGCGCAAGCGTGAGCTGGAGCCTGGTGCGCAGGGTCCCCCACGAAAGAGGGCAGGCGCACCAGGGGACCTTGCACCCGGGTCTCTGGACCCTAGGCCTGCCTCACGCCCCAGCCGCCGGGCTACCACCCCAGCCGGCCAAGGCAAGTCCTCCGAGTGCTTCGAGTGCGGCAAGATCTTCCGCACCTACCACCAGATGGTGCTGCACTCTCGGGTGCACCGCCGTGCCCGCAGGGACCAGGAGGGCGCAGGGGACCGCGTGCCCCGCGCACGCTGCGGCTCACTCAGCGAGGGCGATTCGGTCTCACAGCCCAGCAGCCCTGGATCTGCCTGCGCGGCCACTGACTCCCCAGGCTCTGGCCTGGCAGAGGAGGGTGCTGATGAGAGCGGAGAGGAGGGTGCCGCAGACCCTGCACCAGGTGAGTGGATGCGCCTGTGCTGCCAGGTTTTCCCATGCCCAGGTAGTCTCGGCTCAGGTAGTCCTGCACCCAGGTGGCCCAGGCCCAGTATTCCTAGCTCAGGTAACCCCATACCCATGTGCTCTGCACCCAGGTGGCCCCTTGCCCAGGTGGCCCCATCCCAGGTATCTGAGCCCAGATATGCCTGGCCCAGTGTTTTGTACCCAGATAGCCCTGTGCCCCAATAGTTCTTCCCAAGGTATTTCTGAACCCAGGAGGTCCAGGCCTCGTAGCCATGTAGCCAGGTGGCTCTGGCTCAGGTAGTTCAGGAGCCCAGATAGGACTGATGCCCAAGTACCCATGCCAATATGTTTGGGGTTTAGATAGCTCTGAACCCAGGTGTCCCAGGCCCAGCAGCCCCAGCGCCAGGTAGTCCAATGTCCTGCACCAGAAGAACCCTGTGCCCAGGTAGCCCTTTACCAGGCACCTCATGCCCAGGTATTCTGGGCTCAGGTAGGCCAGCAGGGTGTCCCTGAACTCTGGCTGATGGTGCAGATGCAGGTGCCTCGTGCTCCCCTTCTGACTCCTTTCTGCTCATTGCCCATATGTGTTTGCATAAATGAACACCTTTGACCCGCTGCGTTGATAGTCTCTCTGGGACCTCAGTCATTTGACAGACCACAAGTGGCAGGCTGCTCAGAGAGCGTGCTCTTTTCTCCCTGTGCAATCCCAGACCTAGTTCGCTCACCACAGTGTGCATATGGGAGCGAGCACACAGGAGCAGGCACAGAAGGCCCACCCGTGGGTGCACACACACGCATGCACACACACGTTTTAGCCGTGCCTCTTCTCCCCCGCACCAGGCAGCCAAGTAAAAGAGTAACTTCAAGTCAGTTTACAGTTTTAATTAATCTCCCTGGATTCAGGTAACCCTATGGGTTCAGAGGCAGCTAATTGGCAAGGGTTACTTTCCAAATAGCAGCTATGTAAACATTTAAAGATGCTTGGCTAACTTTGTTTTCATCATTTTCCTACTTTTTATAAATCTTAAAAGTTTTGATACTTTCTTCATAATTTGTGTTTTGGGTAATTTTTACAAGTTCCAGAACTTGCCACTTTCTAAAGATAGCCAGGAATGTTTTTTTCCTTCTCCCTGAAAACTGGTTAATGGATGTTGCCTTTACCTGAAAGGTCAGGGATGATGGAAACCCGGTTGCTTCCGCAGGGCTCTTTATGTTTTGTAGGGAGGAAAATACCATTTATAAGTGTATATACAGGTAAGTGGATAATAATACATTATGCATTGACCCACATTTCCCACTCACTGCTTAGTCATTAGCCCTTGGAAGGAGCAGGAGAATACATTGTTCTCTGAAAATGTGTGGCTTGTTTCCTGAGATTTTTTTTTAATTCTTCTATCAGTTACACACACACACACACACACACACACACACAAAACACACAAAACAATAGAAAATCCGGGCCCAGGGCCTAACTAGGAAACCCAAAATGCCAATGCAGACATGGAAGAGGCCTTGAATAGGCAAGGGGGGTGGTTCCCCAGAGGGGAGCCAAGGAGGGGGACTAATGTCAAAGCCACTTCTCTGCTCCTGGGCACTCAGCCCAGCATCACCCCTTAGTCATTAGCCCTTGGAAGGAGCAGGAGAATACATTGTTCTCTGAAAATGTGTTGCTTGTTTCCTGAGATTTTTTTTTAATTCTTCTATCAGTTACACACACACACACACACACACACACACACAAAACACACAAAACAATAGAAAACTGGTGAACCCAGTTGTGACCCCTGGGTGGCATTTTAATTTGTGGTGTTCCCTTTTTAAAATTTTTACAACTAGAGGTTTTACTTGGTCACATTCTAGTAATAATACTATGACTACTTTTTGGAGCATGGGTAAAATATTAGGCTAGACCTAAATATTATTTTTTACTTTGAAGACAGATATTTTGAATGCTTGGAAAGCTTTTAGACCTGATCCCCACCTGTTATGATAGCAGTCAAATAATTAATCATAAGCTAATTCGGTAGTGCTTTTAGGAGTAAGATGTTGGAAAGGTCAAATTATTTTTACTGTTAATTAGAAATGATTCTTTTTCTCTGGTTCACTAAATTTTAAAGATTATCATTTGCTTC